ACTAGTAAGTGTCTGATGCTGGATTTTAAATTGGGTCTTCCTGACACCAGGTCTAGTGTTCTATTCTCTGTGCCATCCAGCTTTTGAAAAATAAAATGAGTTATACCATGGTTCAGTAAGCCTAATTGGACAGGCCTTTACTTTCCACTCCTTGGGTTGAAAATGACAGTGATTATGCACTGAGGTAGGAGTTATCTGATTTTATATCTCTTCCTCATCAAGTAACAGTAGGTGACAGGATGTCGGTATTTATTTCTTGGTAGTATCTTATAGTAACTTTAATTTTCAAATTCTTGAATCTAAGTATTCATTTAGATAATTTTGATCAATATGTATTCTAATGGAATATAAACTTTAAAATTGGTGGGAAAAAATACAAAGGTCATTGTTTTGGTTTAGTCAAATGGATCTGTGATCTCCTCAATAGTCATAGTCTTTTGACCAGGATGCCTATTCATGCCTGCCCAACTTGGGCACCTCTTGTCCATGCCCTCCCATAAGTTCACCAATGAGTAGCCACCCAATGTGCTAGAATGGGGGTGGGTGGAAAGGGCTTCATCACTTTTTGTCTTGACATTAAAAAGATGCCAGCGTAATAGCTAGGGATAGCTGTTCTTTACTCCTCCATCTGGCCATGTGACTAGCCCCTCCATGTCTGTGTCTTGGTCTGTCTGCCTCTGTCTCCAACTGTTTTTCATACATTTATTTGAGGTCATCCTTAATTCTGTTTCTCTTTTGTAATGTCTTTTGTAATCAGTTGTGGCCTGCTCAACCTTGCCATGTGAGAGTTCCATAGCTCTCTGGGTGATAATTCATTTTTAATACTATGAAGACTTTATAACTCTTTGAATGACTTATAACCATAAAATAATACTAGAAAATTATTTTAAAATGGACCTTTCACTTTAGGAGACATTTGTAGTCATTAATAGAAGTTCACAGTTTGCTAAAAACAATCCAGCCTGTTCTCCTTTTGTTTCAGTCTAGGTCTAACCCATTGCTTCTTACTGATGGTTTCATCCAAGTCAGACTCAAAGAGTATGGTAGATTATCCTCATAAAATAGTATGTATGTGGGAAAGTTGACAAATATGTCATTTGCCTTTTTCAGTATGAATAAGTCTGAAATTTTTCTGTTTGTTTTTTTCCTCCTCCTTTAGATACCTATGAATAATCTCTTACCAAATATCCTAACACTTGTGTTGCTTTCAGCCCTTTTCCCCCCTGAGTACACCTAGCATAGTTCAGCTGCTTTTCCCATCCTTGCTCTCTTCACAGATAGGTCTATTTTCCTCCCTGAGCCCATTTGGAGATGTGTTGTTTGAGGCCAGCTGTGGCCACTCCATTGTTCCTGCTGGGGAACACTTTTTTGTTTGTTACAAAAACCTTTCCAGGCCTTGCCCTTCTTTCTTTGTGGTCCTTCCAGGCACTTACGTCTCTTGCCAAAGGTTCTTCAAACCGGTTGTACTCTTTACTGCTTCTCACTGTTTCATGGTGGTGATATTGTTTCTAAATCTTCCACTGTTCTCCCTAAAATTTTAGAAATGAGTTTATATTCTGAATAAGTGTTGCTTTTGGCTACCATCTCTCTAAGTAAGTCAAGTGTTTACAGACCAATGTGTTTTTAGGCTCTTTTGACTCCTGGTTATGGCAATTGATTTGTATAGGTTGAATTTCTATTATGAAGCTTATTTTAGTCGGATGTTGATGTCCTTTCTTCCATCTATATCAACAAACACTTCACTTTGCTTGGTCTAATTAGTAAAAATCTGCGTGAATTAAGTACTTCAAATTTGCCAATACTAGACAATAAAAATAAAGCAGAATCCAATTTTTGTCTGAAAAGAAGAGGAGTTGTTTTTTTTTTTGTTTTGCTCCTAGGCATAAGGTCAATTTATTTAACAGTTGGTTTTGTTGAACCTAGAGCTGTGGAGTGTTTGTCAAGATCTTGGCGAGTTATTGCAATTTTAATTATTTTGTCCAACAAAAGAATAAAGCCAGGGAAGTGTCTTAGCATTTAAAGATAAAACACTCACAATCAGACAATAAACCAAACTCTTTTCTAAACAAATTTTTCAAAATTAAATGTCAATGGAATGATCATGTTTATCAGTTGAAAAATCATGTAGAAATCCTTTTGATGATATTAAAAGCAAAGCTAGGTGTCCTATCCTTTTTTAATTTTTTATTCACATTTATACTTTCATTTTTTAAATTTAGTTTCATTGGAAATGAGTGAGAGGACTGATAATTATGCTGAATATTTTTAATTTCTATCATTACACATTTTTTATAACATTTCTGTATCTTTAAATATAGTTCTAATAGGAAATCACAGTTTTATCTTGGTGACAAAAGAAATGAAAAAATATGAAATGAACTGTTTTCACTTTTTACTGAAGAATTTGCTTACCAGTATAATTTTAGGAGGTTGCAGCAAATAGTTTTGTAATTTAACTGATCCTCAATATAGTTTAAATTAGGAAATACTGATTGAGAGAATATTTTTCCAAATGTTGGCAACCAGAACTTACAGGACAGAAGTAAAACCCTGTTGAAGTCTGGTTAATACTATGTAGTGCATCACTTCCTCTCTATCAAGCTGATGCTATTACCTCTGCTATAAAGATCAGATTAGGGTGATAACATAACTTTATTATACCTTGCTTAGCATCATCCAGAACCTAGTTACCCAGATATTTGCACATTTTATGATTTATGATAATGGTAGGTATACCCCAAGGATGTGTCCAGGGCCCCCTTCTTTTCTCCATTTACAATTTCTCATTGGTGACATCACCAGCTCCCATGGATTTAATTATCATCTTTATGCATACAATTCCCAAATCTATATGTTCTAGTCTAGTCCTGATCACATGTAACCAGTAACCTATTGGACATCTTAAACCTGATGTCCTGTAGACATCTCAAAATGGAGATTATTATCTTTCCACCAAAATCCAGCTTTGTTCTGAACTTCCCTAATTCTGTTGAGGGTACTACCATCCTTCTGGTCATCCAGGTTGACAGCCTTGGGTATCATTATCAACTCTTCCATCTCAATCAGTCTGAGTATTTAAGCAGTTACCTTATCTTGTCATTTCTGCTCCATGATGTTTTTCACATCCCTCTTTTCTCCACTCATAGAGCCACCATCTTATATCAGGTTCTCATCACTTCTTGCCTGGCTTATTGCAATGGTCTCTTGGATGTTCTCTCTGCTTCAGATATCTCTCTTTTCCAGTCTGTTCTCCACAGATCTGCCAAAGCCATATTCCTAAAGTCTAAATCTGGCTATGTCATTTCCCTTCTCCAGTAGCTCCCAGTCACTTCTAGGGTAATATGTAATGCCTCTATTTGTATTTAAAGTCTTTCCCAAATTGGCCTCAATCCATCTTTCTAGCAGTATTTCACATTACTCCCCTTCATTCTTCCTGTAGTCCAGTGAAACCACCCTCATAATGTCATTGATCCTGTTCAGGAGGGAAGGATGAACCACAATCTGATGCTACATTTCACACCTCTGCCTCGTAGAATCTCCTTTCTTCAAACTTTCTGCAACATTCTACATGAAGACTTTCCTGATCCCACTCTCCTTTACTCTTGCTGGCACTCCTCCCCCCTCCTATCACCTTGTATCAATTTTATCTGTAACTGTATTTGCTGTTGGCTCCTCCCCCATTCTCAAAATACAAGCTTTTTAGGGTGTGAAATGTTTTGTTTTTGTATCTCTGGTGCCTAGCATAGTGCCTGGCACATAGATGGAACTTAATAAATAAACAAATACATGTTAGTTGATTGATTGGTGATGATTTTCCTGGTATAGAAATAAAAGTTTTAGGTCAATAATTCCACATTTACATGTACAAATATAGATAATCTTACTCCTTTTCTCATTTTGGGCATCTTATATATGTATGTATGTGTATACATATACACATGTATACATATATATACACACACACATATATGCACACATGTATATTCACGTACATATATTTACATATGTATATATACACATATATATTTCTAAAATTAAATAAATAGCATATAGCCAATAATATTAGATTCCTATTATGTAAAGCCATCAGGGCTTACAAATATAAACACGCGTAACTTAGTCTTCTACAACATCCTTCTTGTGTTAACTTTGGCTTTCTTTGCTTTCTCTTTCTGTTATCTAATTTTTTTTTTGAGAGCAGTAAAACTCTGTCTTTGGAGTTTTATTATCCAGCAGGGGTAACTAACCATTTGCCCTTCTTATCTCATTCCTTAAACATTTGAGGGGTATTTCCAATTCTTTTTATATAGATTAAGCATTTCTTTTTTTTAATCGTCTGAAACCCTTCACTCTTTCATGTATCACCTGTTAGGATAAGAGGGAAGGAAATCATAAGGGAAAAAATAAAGTGTTTTTGTGAGTGTTGTTGCTTTTTTAGTATTTCATATATTATTTGCAAGTTGCCTTTCTCATAAGAACTTGGAGGGACCTCAGTCTTACTGGTCTCATTTTGAGGTTGCATTTATTGACACAAAAAGGAAAGTGATTTTCCAGGTATCACAAAGCAATATAATTTCTAGCCGATAATGTAATATAACACATGAGACCTTAAATCTGTTACATTTACATTAAGCCCTATGTGGCTCTTCCTTTCTCAGATGATACTTACATATTCTTCTTATATTCATATTCAATCTTACATATTCAGTTTTCAAGTTATCATGGTATTTCTTATTTTATCTGCTTATTTAATCCCATGAATGAGGACATCGTCTATGTAGCTGAATGGTGCTCAACAAATATTAAATAATAATGATGGCAGTGAGTAATAATGATGATATTGTAATAACAAAATTCCACCACTGCCTCTTTAGTATCTTCAGAGAAGACAGGGTCTTGGTAACTCATGACTCTTTACTTTAAACAATGTCATCTAAAATATGTTATGAAATGATTTCCCCAAGTGAACTCACAAGGCCTTTTCAAACTTTGTTTTCCAGCCTTATACCCAGAAGGACACACAGAAGTACATTGTGAAGAATTATTTCTACTATTATCTATTCAAGTTTTCAGCTGCTTTGGGTGAAGAAATTTTTTACATCACCTTCCTTCCATTCACCCACTGGAATATTGACCCTTATGTGTCCAGAAGGTTGATAATTATATGGGTTGTAAGTATTATCATTATACTTTATTGTTATTTATTATCCCAGTGACTGTATGTTCCCTGGCTCACTAAGCCAATAGCATTTTGTTTTCTAGTTTTCTCTGGAAAAAGAAATGAGCTCAAAAATACAACTTGACATGTTTCATTAAAATGTTTTGTTGTTGTTGTTGTTGAATAACTTGTGCTTTCTAATATGTGAACAGAACAAGAGAGTGGGAAGATGGAGGTGTGCCTAGAAAAGACAAATTGACTATTTTTCGGATGTACTAATGAGTGATAAGATTATTTTCTCTCCATTGGCCCCAGTTAGTTTTTTAAAATTACTTTCATCCTGTTAGTGTCTTTAATTTGGTCAACAAATATTAAATGCCTGCCATGTGCTGTGTCCTATGGGGAATACCAAGAAGGACAGGGTGTGTCCTTCCTCTGCCCATAGGAAGGGCTTTCAGACAGATTAGAAGACAGAAAAACGTTTAATCACAATATGGGGTTTGTAAAAGGATCCTTTTAGATCAGTTTTGGTTGGGGGACATATGCAACTTGATGTTACGTGGGTTTTTCCTAGACTTTGACTTTTTCAGGAGGGTAGAGTTGGACACATGATTTGTCAATCAAGACCAGGGTGTGGGGAAACTGAACACCTGTGACAGTTGAAGAGCCAAGAGGGGAGGGGCTTCAGGATCAAGAAGATTTGGCTGATAACAGGAAAGATGCAAGTCCCTTACCCAGACATGAAGCATTAGCTGGACAGTACAAGATTGAGAGCACTGGCCTGGAAGTCAAAAGAGTCAGGCTTTGCCAATAACCACTTGTGGGGTTTTTTGGAAAAGACAGTCATTTCATTGGTCAAAACGAGGCATTTGGACTGGATGATCTTTAAGGTCCCTTTCCAGCTGTGAAATCCTGCAATTGTGTGATTTTACCATGGAGGTCGAATGGAAAAGCTTTCATTTTAAATAATATATCACTTTAAGAGACCCCCACGACACCAAAATCTCAACTTACAAGTTCTGTTATGATCACTATTCTTCATCTTACAAAAGATATCTCTGCAGTACTGTCTTAACTAGTGAGCTCTCCTAATTCTTTCATGAAAATTCAATCGACATGCAAATTTGAAGGAACATTTCTTACGTAAAGTATGTAAATCTGTAGACTCACCATTGCCTATACTCAACTTGGGAGGCAGTCTGGCACAATGGACAGTAAGGTTTTGGAGTCAGAGGACCTGGGTTCAGATCCTGGTTCTGCCATTTTACTGGCTGTGAGACCTTGGACAAACCATTTGTCTTCTCTTGACTTTAGTTTCTTCATCTGTAAAATAAAGGGATTGGATTCCAAGTCTTCATAAATCCCCTCCAGCTCTAAATTTAGGATACTGTGAACTTTCCTCTAATCTCCTGACCTTTAATCAATTCAATGGGAAGCTGCTGGTCTGACTTACCTTGATGACCCTAACCAATCAGTCAGAGGTAAATTAGAGCAGCTAGAGCCACAGTTTCCCATATCTAGAGTAAAGAAAAGGAAACTTTAGAGCATCAGACCCTCAAAAGAACAAGACTGATTCCCTTGCATGTCCAGCCATGGAACCCAGCACAAGATGTGTCAATTCCACACGCATTAATGAATTGCTTATTATGTGCCAATTACTGTGCAAAGCCATATAAATACAAGCAAACAGATAACCTATGCCCTCAAGAAGCTTATATCCTAATGAGGAAAAAACAGGTAAAAGGAAGCTGGTTGGAGGGAAGACAGAAGGAACAAAGGCAGGGAGGGGTGGTAAAGCGCAGAAGGTGTAGAGAACTCAGAGAGGAATAAAGACATGACTGGCTTGGACACTTTCTTTAAAATAGTGGTTCTAGTAGGAACCAGCCAATGAGAGGAAGGGGCCATAACAGTGCCATAAACTTCTAGGATGAAGAGGCCACAGGGAGACAGTGAACTTCCAGTTTGAGAAGGCTATTGTAGTATGGTGAGTCAGGAATGGAGGCTGGAGAGGAATGAAGAGAGAGAGAGAGAGAGAGAGAGAGAGAGAGAGAGAGAGAGAGAGAGAGAGAGAGAGAGAGAGAGTGTGTGTGTGTGTGTGTGTGTGTGTGTGTGTGTGTGTGTGTGTGGCTGGGGGACTGTATATGTTAGGATGCTCTGGTGGCTTTGAAACTAGCTCTCTGTTCAATATGCCTTTCTGTTTCTCAAGTGCTATATAGTACTCACCCAAGTTGACTAGTAAAGACTACACATGAGCAGCTAGGTGGAACAGTGCGTAAAGTGCCAGGCCTGGGATCAGGAAGACTCATGTTCTGAGTCCAAATCTGGCCTCAGATACTTACTAACTGTATGACCTTGGGCAAGTCACTTAACCTTGTTTGTCTCAGTTTCCTTATCTGTAAAATGAACTGGAGAAGGAAATGGCAAACCACTCCAAGATCTTTGCCTGGAAAACTCCTAAGGAGGTCATGAAGAATTAGACAGGACTGAAATGGCTCAACAACAACCACCACCCCAGTAATCTAGGCCAGAGATGTCATTTTAATGATGCTTACATTTTAATCTGAGGGTATTGCAGCAGGAATGCAGAGAAGGTGCTGATCCATAGAAACAGTAGAAAGAGATTCCTCACTTTGGAGCTCTCTATACCATTAAAATCACAGGTCCAGTTTCCCTATCTCCTTTATTCCTATTTATATCTTTTTTAATGTAAATATACAAAAATAACAGTGTATTTATGATCCTTTCTCAAGACCCTTCTAAAAACCCTATGATTGTATCTTCATGTATACATAAATATTCACTCAATACTTTTTAGCTGGTGGAGATAAATGCCCTCCAGATTATCTAAAGACTTTGGGGAAAGGAATGAGTGACTTTAACCTTTTTTTTTGGTGGTGGGGGGGGAATTACGAGAGAAGCAGTGATTCCCTCACCATCACCCAAACAAGTTATCTCTGGACTAGATGACTTCTAAAGCCTCTTTCAGCTCTAAAATTCTAGGATTCCAGGAGTCTGTAACCCTAGAGAAATGTATTAGCTCTCAATTGCCATTACTTCTCTATTTCTGCCATCGCACCATACCATGCCTTCTTTCAGCTCTCTGTCTCCCAAGCTTGCCATTCTCTGCAGCCCTACTCATTGCTCCGAGTTCAATTTAAAAATCCTCAAAAAACACATGTAAACTGAGTCAATCTTATCTCCATCTACATGACTTGAACATACTACCCTTTCTTAAGCTGCCTTTATATAACTGTGGAGCAGCGACCCCTGCTGGAGCAATGCCTCCCTTCTTGGAAACACCTGTTTAAAACTGGGAAGACCTCTCCTTTCAAGTGGGATACAGGGAGAGGGCTGTGGAGTCCAAGTTTCTTTCCCACTGATATTCAGACTTTGACAAATGATCCCCATGGTTCTCAATGATTTCACTGAATGTGCCAAATTGGTAATTTGGTTCCTTTTGTAACTTGGAGATATACTGTGAGTTTAATCTGAAAGCTGGTGTAGACCAACTCCTTGTCTCAGAGACTTGACCAGCTTAGGGTTTATGGGAGGTCCTCTGTCCCTTTGCTCTCATCCATTCCTCCTCTATGTTGTCTGATGGATTTTATCAGGATAAATGAGAATCCTTTTTTTTTTTTTTGGTGGGCTAAGGGAGTGAAGCTCTAATAGTTACTGTTTTTGATACTTTTGGTTCAAAAGCCAAAATATGAAATTAAAAGAACCGTTTCCATTTTTCTCCCTCCCATAAAGATATTGTGAAGGCAATGCTGGGGCAAACACATAGCAGCTATTCTGCAATAGCACCAGATATGTTGCATTTTTAATCAAATGTTCTAGGCAGCATCTCCTTTAAGTTCATTGCTTTCTATCTATTCATCTTCTTGAGGCAAATGGAGAATCATATGAGCAAATGCCATGCATTGCATTCATAAAACTGCTCACAAGTATCTCCTGTACTCTTTCCCCTCTTTGACATTTTTCTGTGGCTTTTAAAAATGGTAGTGATATATAATGAAAATTTACTGGTGGTACTAAGAACTTGCCTCTATATTCCCCTGACCATAACCAATTCATTAGAAAACAACAAGTTCTGCCCATTATGGTGACCCTGACATATCAGCAGAAGATAAATTTGAGTCACCAGAGAAATAGTTTTCCCTATCTAAAGTAAAAAGAAGGAAAACTGGAAGCCTCAAGTATGTCAGCCCCTCAAAAGGCCAGGAGTATTCCTGCATTTCCTATGTGGTACCCAGCACAGGTGTGTGTGTATGTATGTCATGTGTACCTGTATATGTAAAGACTGTGTGTACATATGTGTATATATACTCATATATACATATATACGTGTATGTAGTATATGGAGAGAGAGAGGTTTGTTTGTTATTGTTTTTTGAGGCCCACTTGGGCAGAGTTCTTTAGCCCATGAAGGAAAAATAAGGTAGATTTTTGGACCTACTATCACGACCTGTGATTTGAATTGTTGTCCCCCCCCCCCGAAATAATGATTTATGTTGTTCAATACACTTGTTTGTCAGCTGGTTCATATCAGAGGTTTTATCCTATAGCTATAAAAAAAAGTTGGTCTTTGCCAAAACCTGATTGATTTGAACCACTCAGCTTCATCAGCTCTGCAGAACAATGTAACTACCACAAATACCAACTGAGTTCCATTCTTTGTATCCCTGCAGTGCTTTGTACATACCAGAATAAACTCTTTCCTGGCTTCCCAGATTCTGAAGCAGCAAGGAACCCTAAAGGACAGACAGGAAATGACATGTGCCCGGCGACTCAAGCCGTTGCTACCACTTTTTTTTTTTTTTTTGCTTTTTGGTAAGGCAATCAGGGTTAAGTGACTTGCCCAGGGTCACACAGCTAGTAAGTGTCAAGTGTCTGAGGCTGGATTTGAACTCAGGTCCTCCTGACTCCAAGGCTGGAGCTTTATCCACTGCACCACCTAGCTGCCCTCCATTGCTACCACTTTTACACTGCTGTTGAGACGATCCAGGACCATAA